CCAAGTCATTTTGCATCTCTCCCTCTGAAAATTCTTCTTTAATTGTCTCCATTTTGTTTCCTGAAGATCCTACAAGAATCAGCCCCAGGCAGAGTAGCAGCAGAGAGGCCTCCATCTCAGATCTAGGATGCTCTCTTCTGCAGCGAAAATAAAAAGTAAGAGGTAAAACTAAGGAGAATATTAAGGAGCTAGCTCTCTTTTCCTCATGACAGTTATTCCCAGGATTGACCCCTCATGTACCTTAAGACTCCTACATCTGTTCATGGAAGTATGATGCTGTGAAAAGACAATCAGCTGTGGAGTCTGAAGACCCAGTTTCAAATCCCTGCTTATCCACTAACAATTTACTCTACCTCATTAAACTAACCTCAGTTTCCCCATATGAAAAATAGAAAACGTGAGAATTACATAGGATAATATGTTTATAGTACCCAGAACCAAGTCATTATTTCTCTTCCTGTTCCCCTCATCTGTAATCTCATCGGTAGGATCTGTCATCTTCAAATAGATCACAAGAATCTCACTCACAGATTCCTCACTGTTCCTGTGTCTCCCACAGCCTCACACAGTACCCAGCATGCACTTGAAAAAACCCCCACAACGTTATTCTGCCCTCTCCCATTTCTTTTCCCACCAATCTCAGACATGGGATATCTGCCTTTACCAGTTTCTTTAGCAAAACTGATCCTGTAGAGAAAGCTTCCAGTTTGTTGGAGGGTCAGAAGTGAAACTGTATTTGTTTCCTGAGAGTTTCTGCTATTGGGTCTAGCTGAGGGAAGGAGGGGCCAAAAACAGGGGAGGGAGAACTGTATGAGATTGAAGTAGGGGACAACGTGGAACCAAGGACACTCAGAGGACTTAACAGAGTGTCCATTTGGCTGTCAGGATCCTAGTGACCTGGGCAGCACCACTCTGTCTCTTCTGTGAAATATTCCCTATTTATTTATATTTTAACCCAAAGTGATTTTTCTTTCTTCTTTGAAACCCTACAGCATAGGTTATATTGCACTTCACTTTATATGGTTCTTTTTTTATTTTTCAAGTTGGTTGATATATGTTAGTCTTTTCTTTCTCTTATTGAGGCTAAAAATCTTTTGAGTCTGGAATATACTTCCTGCTTCTTTTATTCTGTACAGAATCAAACACTTTCTCAGCAATGTTTGTTAACAACATAGTATGGCTTGACTAATGTAGAAAATTCTTTACTTGAAAATTCACAATGAGCTCCCAGAAAGAATGGTTATTTACAGTGATAATCCTTTATCTTGCTCCAGAAAGATCTTACTCATTTCTCTGGTCTCTAAGAGCCTCCTTCCTTTACACTTGTATCTCCTGCATTATCATACTTACTTATATCCTGATCATCATTCCTTGCCCCTCCATTCCTTCAATACACTACTTTCTAAAACACCACTTGTAATGACATTACTTCAGAAATATTCAATTATCCCTCATTGCCTACGTGAGGTAATCGAATCCCCTGAGACCACTTAGCCAAGGCTCTACTTGATCCAATCCCCTTCTCAAGGCTCACCTCCCATTATTTTGGTATGCAAGCTGGCTCTCATTAAATCAGTGTGACTCACTCCCTTTGAATGCACTCTATTCCATCTTTCCATTTCTGCTCCTTTCTGAATGCCTACTCTTTTCTGCCTCTTAAAACCCTTCAGAGCCCAATTCAGATCCCATTCTTTTGTTGACATATTTTCTCACTACTTAAGCTTGCCAAATTCATTTCTCACTTATATCCTGAACATATATATCTGAACTTCTTACCACCACTTCTTTTTTTTCTTATTCACTTCTCTTTTCTTTCCTTTTTATTAAATAATTCTTTATTGTTGAAAGTATTACATGTCCCCTTTTTTCCTCCATTAACCCCCTCCAGCCCACCCTGCCCCCTGCCCCAGGCCTTCAGCACCCTATTGTTTATGCCCATCCACCCACTTCTTTTTTCTAAAAAAAAAAAAAAAATGTTTTTATTGATTTTTAGAGAGAGAAGAAGGGACAGATAGAAACATCCATGAGAGAGGAAAACTTCAATTGGCTGCCTCCTGTGAGCCAAACCAACTAGGGAGACCACCCACTTCTTTTTTTTTTTTTTAAATATATATTTTATTGATTTTTTACAGAGAGGAAGGGGGAGAGATAGAGAGTTAGAAACATTGATCAGCTGCCTCCTGCACATCTCCTACTGGGGATGTGCCCGCAACCAAGGTACATGCCCTTGACTGGAATCGAACCTGGGACCTTTCAGTCCGCAGGCCAACGCTCTGTCCACTGAACCAAACCGGTTTCGGCCCACCCACTTCTTATACCACGCATTTGACATTAGTACACATGGACTTGTTTTTTTTATATTTCATTTTAAAATGTCCTGTATGTAAAACAAGAGCAAAGACCCAGTACCAAGAATATATAAGCCTTAATAATTGGGTTGATTGATTATTAATTGATTATTAAGAATTAAGTGGATGTGTTCATGTTTGTGCCTTGAACATAGACTTAGTGTAGGTTGAGGGGAGGCTGGAAGAAGGTTTAGATTATTTCCTAAACATCGACTGCCATCGATATAAATAGTGAGGTGATAATAGGAAAGCAGACAATAAGGAGAAAAATAAGAACACTGTAGATTCCCAGTTTTTCTGGAACATGTATTTCAACTGGGCAGAAATCCCAGCTACCTGGGTTTGATTTGGGCTGCTAGGTGCCCATTAAAAACAACAACAACCACCCCCCCCCCAAAGAATAAGTAAATAAAAAGAAATAAAAACAACAACACCCAAACTGCAAATGTGTAAAATGTCACAATTCATTTGAATTGGGCTTTGATCCTCATTGACTCAAAATACTGTGAGGATAATTTCCATTGACAGTCTCAGTTGCATACTGACACTTTAATGGGAATGCATTTATCTGTAAAATTTTGTTTTTAATTAACAAGAGGGAGGTTAGGTGAGTAAAGGAAGAGAAATCATTGGGAAGGACAATAAAGCCCAGGGAGAGGAGTAGGAAAAGGAATCAGAATTCAGAACATAGAAATTAATAAAAACAAACACTGTTTGCTCAGTGGTGAGAGAATCAGCCTACGGAGTGAAGGGTTACAGGTTCGATTCCCGGTCAAGGCCATGTACCTCGGTTGCAGGTTCAATCCCTGGTGGGGCGAGAGTGGGAGGCAAATAATAGCGGGAGGCAATTAATTGGCATCAGATGTTTCTCTCTATATATCTATCCTCCCCCCTCCCTTTCACTCTCTAAATATCAATGGGGGGAAAATAGCCTCAGGTGAGAATTAAAACAAAACAAAAAACATAGAAATGGGAGCCATAAAGGACACATTTTAGCTACTGTAAAGTTTTACCCAGGAAATGATGCTGCAACCAGGACCCCGCATCATATACCAAGGACCACCTGTTCCTGCTCAGCATCTGAAGATGCTGAGGGCCCTGGTCCCTTGGTGGCATTCCAACATCCATGAAGACAATGGTGACAATGGGTTTCTGCAGAGAAATGGGTAATGAAACTCAACTGTGAAAGGGCCACCCCACATGGGTAAGCCTTGCCCATGTCCTTTACTTACCTCTGTCACTCTCCTCCCCTCTAATCTAATCAATCGAATTTGTTGCTTACAAAGACTGAGTTAACAACTAGCATAGGTGTACCTCCTTCTTTGATCTAACCTTTAATTAAGTACAAATAAATAATGCAATAGTTGAAGTCTCTCAACTGAAAAGATCGGAACAGAATGGACCCTATGAAGCTCACGCATCCCTGGGGCTGCTCTGGCTCACTGTAGGAGTTCCCGGCTCTCAATTACAGGATTGAAATGTCATAGTTCAGAACTAGTGTTCCCATAACCTGCCAAATACCCCTTCTTTCTTACTACTCCCCAGTACTAACCCTCCCTTCCAACAAGGCTAGTTTCTGTACTACTAAGAAATAAAATTGTGGTGTGATAGGCCTGGAAAGAACCTCAAAGACTATCTCGTTCAAGCTCCCTCACTTTACAGATGAGACAACTGAGGCTCAGAGAGAAAGAGGACTTCATCAAATTCCCTTCCTTCTCTTCCTTTGCCCTCTAACTCTAAAGATACGCTGCCCATAGTTGAAAGTGAAATAACTAAAGAACCAGTCCAGTTGTAAGAACTAAAAGAGGGAAAGAATTAGTAGTCTGGTCAAAGTCCTTCCTGTTTCCTCTGGGGATGCCAAGAGGAGGTACAATGAGCTCTGAGGGTCTCAATGTCTCCCTGAGACATCCTTATCCGTTTCTCTCCACAGCCTTCCAAGGAAATGGTTTCTGGCTCCTTCTGATCTCTTTTTCCCTTTCTTTCAAGGCGCAGAGGAAGCGCTGAACAGGAGCAGCTGCAGCTTGAGTTAATCTTTAAGAGAAAATCCTAAGAGATGACCCCAATTGCCTCTACACTTAGAACCAAGTAGGGTGGAATGAATGCAGTACTTGCTCTAGGTATGAAATTTAAGGGGCACCAAAAAGCCCAGTAATCAAGATGATATTTTTAATGCGACTTTTAAGAATTAATTTAATTCAAAACAATCCCTGATGAACAAATATCAAAAATGTAAATAACAGGACCTGACCCTGCGTGGGCACAACTCACGTACTTCGCTCACCCTAAATCCAACCCTGTCAGATTTGTCTTGATTTAAAATTGAGATATTTTGTTCATCAGAGATTTTTGCATTAATTTTGATTTTTTAAAAATATTCTTTATCTAGATTACTTGGGGGAGGGTGCCCCTTAAAATTTGCATGTAAAGTGAGTGCCTCACTCACCTTATCCTAATCCCAGTCCTGCATAGGATTCACTCTTGGCTCTCATCAAATGACCCAAAGAAAAGGAACAGGAAATTGAAACACATGCATAGTTTATGATTTAATTTGGTAGAGTTTTGTTTTTTATTGAAGCAGAGTAAGAAGATTCCAGCTCATTTAGTTTTTTATTGAAGCAGAATAAGAAGATTCCAGCTCAGCCATACTGGAAGGATAAATGAATTACTGGTGGCTACCATTTCACTTGGGCTTTCCCCCATGTCCACAGTCAGATGTGCTCCAGGAAGAACCAGCACCAGTGCCCATGGGAGAGGAGCAGAGAGGATCTCAGATTCAGGTGCTGGTCTCAAGTTATTCAACATATTTCTGGAAGTTAACGGGCCCCATGTCATCGCAAGTGACTACAATAAACCCCTCTGTGGGGGAAATGTGGTACCTGCAGGCAGGATATCTGATACCTTCAATGAGCTTACAGACTGTCATTTTGAACTTTGTCTCACTCTGGAAGCATGAAATGCTGGAATGGTTTTGGCAAGCCATCCTCTTGGGAGAAGTGCAAACACGATTGATCTGTCGAGGCCTCTCGTGGATGAAGACATGCTCTTTTTTGCAGGTGTTGTCAGGTTCCTTGATGATTCTTTCTAAGATCATGTGGTTGCAGTACCTTACAGCAATATTACTCTGAGGGTAGTCCACGTGCAAGTGTTCTATGGTTGACATCACTGTTTCTTCATACAGCTCGTTTTCCCAGAACACAATCATCAGGAAAATTATCACCATTAGTATCATCAGGGGTAAGAGTCCCTTTACATCTGTGGCTTTAATTCCTATAGAGTAAGAGGAAACAGAAAGTAGCAGAGGGTAATAAGAGTCCCTCCATCCCCATCGTTTGCTCCCCCACCCTTAGGACATTTTATTTCCCTCACTCTGCTAATTCAAATCATGCTTAGCCTGCAAGATCCAAGACCTTTCTGACCATTTCAATTCTCAGAGTTTGGCACTGAAGTGATCTCTAATTATTTCCATTTGTTTTACTTCCATCAGCTCCTTGTTGGCAGGTATCTGATCTTCTAGTTTTCCCGAATCTGTCAGAGAGCTTAACATAGAGACGGACAGACAGAGGTGCTCGAAAGTACCCATGCCTGCTTGATTCATTCCTGTTGCTGAATGAGTTCCTTCCCATAATTGTCTCAACTCTAATTCCACCCAATTCTTCATGCTTTTAGCACTGTCTTCTAATCTGTCCTTCCCAATTCTCCTTCTGCCAACCCCAATGGGCTCTGTTAGCTCCTCTTACCTTTCCTTTTTGCTGTAGCTTTCACAAGTAACATATCCTTGTGATCATGGATCTGAGAAAGTCCTTTGTGTCTCGCTGTTCTCTGACAATAACTGGTAGGGAGCCAGTCGAGCGTGGGGTGGGCCCAGTAGAAAGAACAGGCAGGGAGGAGCCTGTAGGGGAGTGTGCTTGGATGCCTTTGGAAAGGAAAAGACCTTAATCTTCAGAGGGAGAGTTGAGTAAGGCGGCCCTGAAAGTGTCCTCATTAAACAAGTGTAGACTTTTCAAAACATTTAGTAAAGTGCTGATCTGTGCCAGACACAGCATTGTCTATTTTCCAAAATTTCATCCAGTCCTTAGTCAAACTATGAAGTAACTATTATCTCCCTTTCATTAATGAAGAAATTAATTGCTGAACAGTTCAAGTGGAGATGGGAGATGACAAAGGTAGTAAGAGTTTCACTTTCTCAATGTTTGACACTTGGACTCCAGTTTCAGTAAGTTTTATTCCCATGTGGTGTTCAGGACAAGGCAGAATAATCCCCTGACATTAACATTAGTCTTAATAAAGCCCTAGAAAATATAGCAATGGTTCCCAAACTCTGCTGAATAGTACAATCACCTGGGCATTTTTAAGTGCCACCTTGAGACGTTCTGCTTTAATTGGTATCAGGGTGACCTGGTTTTGGATTATTAAAATTCTTCCAGTGATTCTAATATGCAGCAAAATTTGGGAACTACTGATCTATGGTATACATTGGAAACCTACATGGAAAATTGTGGACAAGGGCTTGGTGAAAGATCAAGTTATTGAGACCATAGAATTATTTTTGTTGCTATCATTTCCTGGCCATTTGATATAGGAATGGAAAAACAGACTTAATTTTACCATTTCTTGCCCTGAAATGATTTATCTTTTGAAGAGACATCTATGTAGTCCTCTCTCTCTCTCTCTCTCTCTCTCTCTCTTTCTCTCTCTCTCTCTCTATATATATATTATATATCTAATCTAATAATAGACAAACATGGTAATTGACCATACCTTTGCTACGCCTCTCATTGGCTAATCAGCGCGGTATGCAAATTAACTGCCAAAAAAGATGGCAGCTAATTTGCATACTGCAGCCAGGGAGGGTAAGCGCCATTCCACCTGCCCTGCTGCCAACCGGGCCTGCTATTTGCCACCCGAGGTGGTGGGGTGGGATAGCGTCATTCCGCCTGCCCTGCCACCATCCAGGTCTGCTACCTGGGGCCCGGGGTGGCGGGCATCCCGTGTGCCACCCAACCCAGGGCAGCTGGGCGGGGCAGCAGCAAT